AGGGAAGACGACGCTTCCGAAATGGACGGAGCCGGAGCCGGTGACGACACGTGTTAACGCGGTCAACATGCAGCGTGCGATGAACAGCGGAGCTCAGGCCTTCTTAGTGCACCTGTACGAAGTGGCAGCTTCCGAGAAAATCGCGGACATCGACACCCTCTGCGCGGCAGTCCCCGGGGAATTGGCGAGCATTATTCGGAAGTATCCCGAAATTTTCGCGGATGACCTCCCGGATGGTTTGCCCCCCCAACGACCTGAGGATCATCGGATCCAGCTGGAGCCCGGCGCGCAACCTACTGTGCGGACACAGTGGCGGCTCAGTCAACCAGAACTCGCCGAGTTGCGGGCCCAGCTGGATTACCTGCTCGCCAAGGGATTTATCCGGCCCAGCACGTCGCCGTATGCAGCACCGATACTGTTCACGCCGAAGAAGGACGGTGGCCTACGCATGTGCATTGATTATCGGGCGCTGAATCGGGTCCCGATAAAGTCGCGTTACCCGATCCCGCGAACCGAAGATCTGTTGGATCAACTTCGCGGAGCTCGGTATTTTTCGAAAATCGACCTGCGAGGAGGCTACCACCAAATTCGCGTATTCGCCGACGACTGCCCGAAGACCGCTTTTCGCACACGCTACGGCAGTTACGAGTTCACAGTGATGCCATTCGGCCTGACAAACGCGCCCTCGACGTTCCAGCTCACCATGAATGGAATTTTTCGGGACATGCTGGACAAGAAGGTCATCGTGTACCTGGACGATATCCTGGTATACAGCGCGACAAAAGAGGACCATCTGCGGGATTTAGAGGAGGTGTTCCGGCGTTTACAGGGGCATCGGCTAATTACAAAGGGGTCTAAGTGTGAGTTCCTGAAGCCGGAATTAGAGTTTTTGGGGCATGTGGTTTCTGGCGAAGGGATTAAAATCGACCCGCGTAAGGTGGACGCCATCGTTAAGTGGAAGCCGCCTACTAATATCCCTGAGTTGCAAAGTTTTCTGGGGTTTGTTAACTACGTTCGTCGTTTTGTACCCAATATGGCAGGGATAACCAAGCCGCTGACCGACCTGCTGCACCACGACAGTGATTTCAGGTGGGGGGAGAGGGAGCAATCCGCCTTCGACGCCCTCAAAAACATTTTGGGTTCACCCCCGGTACTCCGCCTCGCCGATCCATCTCGACCGTTCGAAGTCGTCACGGACGCCAGCGATTTCGCCGTCGGCGCCGTCCTGCTACAGGACTTCGGCCAAGGGCTGCAACCCATCGCCTACGAGTCACGCAAGATGCAGCCACCTGAGCGCAACTACCCAGTCCACGACAAAGAAATGCTGGCCATCGTCCATGCATTTCGCGTCTGGTGCTGCTACCTCACAGGAGCCGACGTGACGATTCGGACCGACCATAAATCGCTACAGTACATGCGCACGCAACCGACACTCAACCCGCGACAAATCCGGTGGTTGGACTTCCTCGAATCCAATTTCCGGTACACCATCACGTACAAAAAGGGCGCCAACAACATCGCCGACGCCCTTACCCGACCATCCATGCAAAACGCGGCGGTACTAATCGCCCACACCAACCCGATGCTAACAGGACTATTCACCCACGGCTACAAGATCGACAGGTTTTTTCGGAACCCACAACAACAGGCTGCTACACCGCACGGCAAATACTACCTAAAAACCGGTACGAACCGGATTTGGGTACCAGCATACCAGCCTTTACGGGAGCTGCTGACGCAGGAGGTTCACGACTCCAACCTCTCCGGGCATTTCGGCACCGACAAGACACTGAAGCTGCTGCAGCGGAATTATTACTGGCCGGACATGCAGACCGATGTGCAGCGCTACGTGTCAACTTGCCCGACCTGCCAAGCCAGAAAGTCGTCGCGAAAAAGGCCAGCCGGACTACTGCAACCCCTCGCGCCACCCGAACGACCGTGGCAACAGGTGACGATGGATTTCGTCACGGGGCTCCCAGCTGGCACGAGTGGCAACGACTCGGTGTTGGTCGTCGTCGATCGCCTAACGAAGATGGCGCATTTCGCCCCATGCCGAACGACGATCACAGCCGAAGATACAGCCAAACTGTTCATCTCCACCGTCGTACACCTACACGGGTTACCTTCGGCGATCATCAGCGATCGTGATCCGAAATTTACGTCGAAGTTCTGGCAGGAAACGTGGGCACAGTACGGTACCCGCCTGCAGTTTTCGTCGTCATACCACCCGCAAACCGACGGACAGACGGAACGGACAAATCAGACCATGGAACAGCTGATTCGCACCAACTGCCCCGACATTCGCAAGTGGGAAGATTCGCTGCCGATGCTGGAATTCGCGTACAACAACGCCCCGTCGGCCACGACTAAACAATCACCCTTCTTCCTGAATTACGGGATAGACCCCGTGGTACCCTCTTCAACGACTGTGGACAACCCGGTACCAAGATCGCAGCAGTTTGTCACGGAACTGCAAACCGCCCGAACGAAAGCAGCCGGTTTCATTCGCAAGGCTAATACCACGGCCAGTCGCCAGGCGGATAAACACCGACGAAATTTACCCTTCCGCACAGGGCAGGTTGTGCTTCTGGACACCAAGAACCTTCGGCTGCCGCAGCCCGCGAAATTACGGCCCCGATACGTGGGACCATTCCGTATCATCCAGATGGTGACACCTGTCACCGCGAAGCTGCTGCTGCTCGACGATTGGAAAATCCATGACGCCTTCCACGTCAGCCTGTTGCGTCATTACGAACAGCCGCAGTCGCCAGCTGTTGCTCGACCAACCATCGCGCCGACCACTCGCCCCGTGGCAGAGCCAACGCTGGAACCTTGGAAGATTCTTAACCATCGCATGGATGTGACTGCCGCCGGCCGCTCGGTGAAATTCCTGCTTCGCTGGAAAGACCGCACGAGCGAGGACGACACGTATGTCGCTGCTGATTCGCTACTGGGACACCCGGTTTTGGACGCTTACCTGGCCCGCCGAGGTGTTTCGGATATTCACCACCTTTCTTAAAGGGGGGGGTAGTGTAAGGAATTTTCCGGATTCCTTACTGGGTCACACTGTACGCGTACAACCCCGACTTTCGGAAATCCAGGCTCGGCCCGCCGACCTCGCCTTCCGAGCCACCACCGCGTCGCTTTCGGGTTTTCCAACCCCGAACCTGCACCCAACCATCTCGCGACCCCGCGACCTCGGCCTAGCTAGCCTTGCTATATTGTGCCTAGGCCTCGTTGTTCATTCAGACGTTGTAATCACTTCCGCATTATTGAGTTCTGCGCACTCTTTCCTTTCACAACTTATAACAAAGTGTACGTACCACAAAATGCAAATGAGTTCAGACCCTTATTTGGAGTTCAATAGCAATTCATGATCGATTTCCCATTGTACCGCGTCCTTGAGAGATTCACCAAGGGTCCCACTACCCAACCCTAGACGGAACTTGGTGTTTCTCAAGATCGAGTCGAACTTGCTGCGGTGCACCGCTGTTTAACGCTGTGAAATGTTTCAGACTACCTTGCTACCCATTCCGCTTTTGAACTCTCGCTTGAAGTGCCCCCTGCACCGAACAGGGCCCAGGTAACATCCAAGCACTCTGAGGTGACTTGCCATGTGGTGAAACCCCTATCTAGTTTCAGACTTGCACGCCACGTAAGACTGAGCCTTGGAGAAAACTGTAAGTCGTACACGTAGAATCACCTATCTGCGCGGCCATCCTGCTGGACTTGGCCGTGATCTCCGTCGCGTCATCTGGTGTGTCAGGATAGAAAGGTATCGCAGTGCTTGACGCTCCTGGCGGCGATGGTCTCTACTCAAGTCAAGGGTCAGGAATCCGTAGTAGGCTAGTAACAGAGGACACATCCATGCAAATTCGGTCAGCGTTCGCTGAGTGATTCAGAGGACAAGGGTTGTTACCCGTCCGAGGTGCTAGCTTCCTGGGATCGTCGGTAGCTGCTCAAGGGATCTCCTTTCAACGCCAGTCAGATCTAGAGCGAACGCGAGTAAGTGTGAAGAGAGAAAGAAGCTGCTTTTCATTTTTTCGCTTGCACAGGCGGCGATGCCATGGCGACTCGTGTTTCCGTCTGAACGGCGATACTTTTCGCTCGTCCGAACGAACACCTTTAGCAAATGGAGCCTAATGTTCCTCGCAGCTCCTGCTTCGGTAACCTCACTTCTTTCGTCTCGTGCCCTTTTCGAACTTCTTAGCATCCGTATTGGACTGTGCGTGTGTGCGTGTGTGCGTGTGTGCGTGTGTGCGTGTGTGCGTGTGCGTGTGCGTGTGTGTGTGTGTGTGTGTGTGTGTGTGTGTGTGTGTGTGTGTGTGTGTGTGTGTGTGTGTGTGTGTGTGTGTGTGTGTGTGTGTGTGTGTGTGTGTGTGTGTGTGTGTGTGTGTGTGTGTGTGTGTGTGTGTGTGTGTGTGTGTGTGTGTGTGTGTGTGTGTGTGTGTGTGTGTGTGTGTGTGTGTGTGTGTGTGTGTGTGTGTGTGTGTGTGTGTGTGTGTGTGTGTGTGTGTGTGTGTGTGTGTGTGTGTGTGTGTGTGTGTGTGTGTGGTGTGTGTGTGTGTGTGTGTGTGTGTGTGTGTGTGTGTGTGTGTGTGTGTGTGTGTGTGTGTGTGTGTGTGTGTGTGTGTGTGTGTGTGTGTGTGTGTGTGTGTGTGTGTGTGTGTGTGTGTGTGTGTGTGTGTGTGTGTGTGTGTGTGTGTGTGTGTGTGTGTGTGTGTGTGTGTGTGTGTGTGTGTGTGTGTGTGTGTGTGTGTGTGTGTGTGTGTGTGTGTGTGTGTGTGTGTGTGTGTGTGTGTGTGTGTGTGTGTGTGTGTGTGTGTGTGTGTGTGTGTGTGTGTGTGTGTGTGTGTGTGTGTGTGTGTGTGTGTGTGTGTGTGTGTGTGTGTGTGTGTGTGTTTTTTTTTTTTTTGCCGTCTTTCTCTCCTGACAGCGTCGCCCGGAGCGTTGCCGGCAGCGTCGCCCCCAACGTCTCTCGCAGTGTCGTCCCCTCGTCCATGTTGGCGGGGCCCCATCGGCTCACCACCGCCATAAAATCCTTCCTGCTGGCGCGCTGGTCTGCGCACATGGCGCAACAGGCGGAGCAGCAGGCGGACCAGCAGCAGCAGCAGTGCAACGCCAACTCAATGCACGTTCACGCCGCGGCTGTCCTGCCTCCCGCTGCGCCAGAGCCAGTAGGAGAGCCAGAAAGGGGTTATCTGGGGACGGCTGTACGTGAAGAGGCTGGGGAGGCGGATGAAGCGAGGGTGGAGAGGAAAGTTGTAGACAAGGGTAAAGCGAAAGTGATCGAGGGCGGTGGGTATGGAGGAGGGAGTGGAGGAGGGAGCAGCAGCGGGAGAAGAGAAGCAGTGGGGACGTTGGCGGGCGCGAGGGAAGGAGAGGGGATGGAGATAGAGGAAGGAGAGGTGGTTATGGGCGAGAGTGGAGCGGAGGAGGAAGAGGAGGAGGGGGAGGAGCGAGAAGAGGGGGAGGAACGAGAAGACGGGGAGGAGATCGCGGAGTTGGTGACGGGCTGGGGATACGTTGGGGAGCCGCAACGGCAGCAGGGGCAGGGGCTGGAGCAGGAGCAGGAGCAGGGGCCGGAGCAGGAGCAGGAGCAGGGGCCGGAGCAGGAGCAGGGGCCGGAGCAGGAGCAGGAGCAGGGGCCGGAGCAGGAGCAGGAGCGGCAGCAGCAGCAGCAGCAGCAGCAGCAGCAGCAGCAGCAGCGGCAGCAGCAGCAGCGGCAGCAGCGGCAGCAGCAGGAGCATGTGCAGCGGCAGGGGATGAGCGCGCTAGTGGAGTTAGAGGAGGATGTGCTGGTGAAGGTGCTCGAGTGCCTGCACTCTCCCGCCGACCTCTCCCGCTGCATGGCCTCATGCCGCCTGCTCAGACGCCTGGGTACGTACGTATGTGCGTGCGTGCTTAAGTGCTCATGTGCTCGTATGCTGCTGCTGTTGCGCGTGCAGCTCGGCGCCCTTGTTTCACTCGTCACTGAACGGCTGCCGCTACCGCTTCTCTCTGCAGCTCCTGCAGCGCATTCGCCCTCCTTGCGCCATGCCCCCCTCCTTGTCCCGCAGCCTCCACAGCGCCACCTTCGCCACTATCGCCACACTCCATATTCCCACCTTAGCCACCTTCGCTACATTGTGCTACCTCTGTTTGGCTGGTTCTATTTCGCCCCCCTATCCGCCTTCTTATCAACTGATTTCCTTCCGTCCGTCCGTCCGTCCGTCCCCGCCCTCCCTCCCTCCCTCCCTCCCTCCCTCCCTCCCTCCCGCCCTCCCTCCCTCCCTCCCTCCCTCCCTCCCTCCCTCACTCCCTCCCTCCCTCCCTCCCTCCCTCCCTCCGCCCCCCCCTCTCCTCCCTTCTCCCACTCCCCTTCCCCCCCTGCACCCCCCGCGCGCCAGTGATCGAGTCATCTCTCTGGCACGCGCTGGCGCTGCGTCTCTTCCCACAGCTCTCTCTCTTCATCGCCGTTCGCCCCACCAACTGCGCGCGTCCCCTCTCCCTCCACCCCTCCCGCCACTGCTCCGCCTCGCCCCCCTGCCCCTCCTCCTCCTCTGCTGCTGCTGGTGATGATAGTGCGCCGGCCGCTGTGTGTTTTAGGGAAATGCAAGGAAAGTGGTTGGAGGGCGAGGGGAGGGAGAGGTCGGGGGAAGCAGAGAGAGCAGGACCGAGCAAGGCGGATCATTCTCCTTCTCACCATCCTCCTGATCAGCAGCAGCAGCAGCAGCAGCAGCACGAGGCAGTAGTAGCAGGGGAGGGGTTGTCATGGGAAGTAGTGGCTGTGTCACGCTTCCTCTCCACCCTCTGCTGGCACCTCGCTGCTCCTCTCGGCCTTACTGAATCAGCCCCGCTACCACACTCCACCACTAATTCCACCGCGGATACCACCACCAATACCACCACTGCTTCCGCTGCTGCTCCTACTGCCACTGCACTCACCACCCGCAACGCCCCCACCACTGCTGATCCTGCTGCTGCTGCTGCTATGGACGTTGCCACTCCTGCTGCTGCTGCCACTGTTGCCGCTGCTGCCACTGCTGCTGCTGCTGTGTTACCCCAGAGCAACACGGGCAGATCTTTTGCCCCAGTAGCATCAGAGATTCCCACAACATCTGCCTCTGCGACTGTATCGGCCACGAGCAACAGCAGCAGCGGTGCTAGCGGTAGCAGCGGCAGCCTGTCACCCACCAGTTCGAGCAGGGAGGGCCCGAGTCACAGCACTGGCAGCGGCAGCGGCAGCGGCAGCGGCAGTGGCAGCAGCGGTGGGAGCGGCAGCAGTGGTGGGAGCGGCAGCAGCAGCAGTGGGAGCGGCAGTGGAAGTGGTGGTAGCAGTGGCGGTAGCAGTGGCAGTGGCAGTGGTGGTACGAGGACCGGGCTTCTGCGGCGGTTGCTACGACACCACAACACCCGCGCCCCTCCTCCCCCTGCTCCTGCCGCTCCTCCATCCCCGCCTCTTTCTCCTCCTCCCACCACCGCTCGTCTCCCCAACCGCAACCATCCCCACCCACCTTCCCCTGCACCACCACCTCCTGCTCCTCCTCCTCCACGCAGACGCACCTTTGGCCTGGCGTTTGATTGGGTGCCGTGCATCGGCAGTGCGGTGTGTGCTTCAAGCACCGACAACTATCCCGAGGAGGGCATTGAGAAGACACTGCAGGCGGAGGCGAGGTGGCCGGATCACGGCACGCCCTCGTACTGGTCCAGCAAGGGCCGTGCTGACCCCCTCGTGCCGGAGACTCTCACGTACCGGCTCTCGGCGCCGCTTTGCTTGGTGAGTGTGGTGGTTGGGGGCTGGTTTGACTGGTGAGAATTTTCAAATGTGACGCCCTCTTACTGGTCTAGTAAGGGCCGTGCTGACCCCCTCGTTCCGGAGACTCTCACGTACTGGCTCTCGGCGTCTCTCTGCCTGGTGCGTGTGTGGCGGGTGGCGGTTGGGTTCCAGGTGTGATGTGTGGGGTGGTAGGGGAAGCAGGGGAGAGGGAGGGGGAGGTGGAAGAGAGGAGGGGAGTGGTGTGAGATTGAAGTTAATTGAGTGGTGAGGGAGAAATGAGGATGGTTTTAGAGTGAAGGTATTTGATTGGTGAGGAAACAGGGGCAGAGCGGAGAGGGTTTGGCTGCTTTGCTTCCTGACATGAAGGTTTAGGTTCGCTCTTAATATCTTTCTGTCTTTGACTTGCACGCGCTCTATTCAATTATCTTTTTTCTTGTGTGTGTGTGTGTGTGTGTGCGTGCGTGCGTGCGTGCGTGCGTGCGTGCGTGCGTGTGTGCGTGCGTGCGTGCGTGCGTGCGTGCGTGCGTGCGTGCGTGCGTGCGTGCGTGCGTGCGTGCGTGCGTGCGTGTGTGTGTGACTGTTTTTGTGAACACAGGTTCGAGAATTCCATGTTCGTCCTTTTCAAGGTACGCACTTCCACGTCCTATTCTTCCCCCTCCATCATGGTTCTGCCTGCCATCCGCCTGCCATCCGCCTGCCATCCGCCTGCCAGCCATGGATCCACGTCCACCCACTCCCCTTCTCCTGCTAGCATCGCTCGCTTTCCCCTTCTACCACCTGTGGGAAACCTCAGCTCTTTTCCAACCACATCCCTCAGCTCATCTCATCTCATCTCATCTCATCTCATCTCATCTCATCTCATCTCATCTCACCTCACCTCACCTCACCTCACCTCACCTCACCTCACCTGATCTCACCTCACCTCATTTCACTGTCCCATCCCATCCCATCCCATCCCATCCCATCCCATCCCATCCCATCCCAACCCATCCCTCCCCCCCCACCAGCCTTCTTCCAGCGCGGCTGGCCCATCTACTCCTCGCGCTACGTGCGTCTGAGGCTGGGCTACCCGCGCGCACCACCAGGGGACCACACTCCCACTGACTTGAACAAGGCATATGCGAACCAAGCCCACAGTCACGCTAGGCTGGGGCACATGGGGGCGGTGGGGGGCAGTGAGGAGGCGGAGGACGAGTTTAGAGCAGCAGGCGGGTCAGGGGCAGCGCGAGACGGGTACACGTGGACCTATGTCTCTCCTCTCTTCCCCATGCACCAGGTGCCTGCCTTACCTTGCGCTTACCTTGCGCTTACCTTGCGCTTACCTTGCGCTTACCTTGCGCTTACCTTGTGCTTACCTTGTGCTTACCTTGTGCTTACCTTGTGCTTACCCTGTGCTTACCTTGTGCTTACCTTGTGCTTACATTGTGCTTACCTTGTGCTTGCCTTGTGCTTACCTTGTGCTTACCCTGTGCTTACCTTGTGCCCACCTTGTGCTTACCTTGTGCTTACCTTGTGCCTACCTTGTGCTTACCTTGTGCCTACCTTCACTCGCACTTTACTTCCCTAAAACATTCTTTCTTGTGTTTCTGCCCGTCCACTGCTTTGTCCGTGCACCTGCTCTCACTCATTCCGTTCCCCTCCAACATCCCTTCCCTTCCCTTCCCTTCCCTTCCCTTCCCTTCCCTTCCCTTCCCTTCCCCTCGCCTCCCCTTCCCTTCCGCCCCCCCCCGCCTCCCCCCCCGCCCCGTCCGCTCACTGCCCACTTCCCAATGCATCCCTCAGGTGGATTCCCTGCAGCGCTTTGTGTTGCCAGAGGTGCTGCTGGCGGTGGGAGGCGTGGCGCAGGTGGAGTAGCCACGTGAATTGAGGGTGTTTTTGAGACGTCTCAAAAACGCCGCCCACTTCCCCGTGCATCCCGCAGGTGGACTCGCTGCAGCGCTTTGTGCTGCCAGAGGTGGTGCTGGCCGTGGGAGGCGTGGCGCAGGTGGAGTTTGTGGGGCGCATGCAGACCCAGCAGTTTGACGACCTCTACTACATCTGGTGACCCGCTGCCGCTCTGCATGCCGCCCTGCATGCCGCCCTGCATGCTGCCCTGCATGCTGTCTGAATCGAATGCCATGCCTCACTGCATGCCGCCTCGCTGCATTCTTTATGTATACTTCCCCTGCTCCCGTCGGTACTCCCTGTCATCCCTCTCGCTCTCTCTCCTCATCCACTCTCCCCTGCTCTCCTCTGCTCATCCACGTGTCATCATAGATCAGGCACTGCACTTCTAGCACTCCCTCTAATAGTGCATAGTTCTGCGTCTCCTGTGGGCTTTCATATACAATTTCTCTCTTTGAATATCTCCTCTCAGACGCCACATCCGGCCCTGATTCATCACCACTACTCACTCGCTCAGCTTTTTTCGAACCCTTCCTCCCCCCCGTTTACCTTCTCCCCTCCTACCCCTCGTTCCCCCCCCGATGGCGGCAGCATCTGCCACGTGATGATCATGGGCTGCCCGTTCCCACAGTACGACATCCACGGGCAGCCCGGAAAGTTTGTCCTGACCGAGCTGCCCGGAAGAAGCCACTCTGTGCGGCCCACACAGCAATCCCCTCTGCCATCTGCTGCTACAGCCCGCCATGAACCTCAGCCTTATCTTCCTCGTTTTCCCCACCTAACTCCTCCTCATCCTGCTGCTGCTGCTGCTGCTGCCGCCCCCCACCCTGCTGTGGCTGGCTGGCGGTTCCCCCTGCTTGGTGTGCGCGAGCAGCTGGCGCTGCTGCGAAGGGGGGTACGGGGGGGAGGGGGAGGGGAGGAGGGTATGTCGAGAGGGGGGCGCGGTGATGTGGATGAAGAGGCAGAGGCTGATGCAGAAGTGGCGAGGTGGCAGGCAGCTACTGAGGGAGAGCGCGTGCAGAGGATTCTTGCGCTGCTCACTGGCCGTGCTGCTGCTGCCGTTGCTGTTGCTCCTGTGGCCAATGCTGTTGCTGCTGCTGCTGCTGGTCCCGGTGCTGGTTTTGGTGCTGATGCTAGGGTTGGTGATGCTGCTGCTGACGAAGTGGAGCATGATGAGAATGGGGATGAGGATGATGATGATGATGATGATGGTGGTGGTGGTAGTATGTTCTTGTGGATGCAAGGGGCCCTGATTCAGGAAGTTGGGGCAGCCGCAGGGGAAGGCCATGGGGTGGGCGGAGCAGTGGGGCTGCACAGAACAGAGTTGGGCGGTGGTGGTGGTGGTAGTAGCAGCACCGCTGCCAATGGTGGTGGTGGTAGTAGCAGCACCGCTGCCAATGGTGGTGGTGGTAGTAGCAGCACCGCTGCCAATGGTGGTGGTGGTAGTAGCAGCACCGCTGCCAATGGTGGTGGTGGTAGTAGCAGCACCGCTGCCAATGGTGGTGGTGGTAGTAGCAGCACCGCTGCCAATGGTGGTGGTGGTAGTAGCAGCACCGCTGCCAATGGTGGTGGTGGTGCTAGTGCCAGTGGTGGTGGTGGTGCTGCTGCTGCTGTTGGTGATCACCCATCTGGTGGTGCTGAAGGCAGGGCTGTGAGTCCGACCCTCCATGGGCCACCACCACCAGTGGCTTGTAGTAGCGCTCAATTTCCGCTGCATCCCCGTCATTCCCCTCCAGCTGCTGCTGCTGCTGCTGTGGTAGGGAGAGGGTCGGCAGGCAGGTATACTGTCACTATCACAGGCACAGAGAGAGTTACAGACACTGCAACAGGTGGGGAGCGGGTGGTAGCGGGAGTGAGTGGGGTGGGATTTGCTGCAGACGCAGCAGCAGAGATGGAGGAAGGTGAGGTTCTAGGGGATACAGAGGACGAGATGGAGGAGGATTTGGAGGAACGAGGGGAGGGAGTGGTGAGAGAGGGGGTGAGGGTGAGAGAGGAGAGGCAGTTGGAGGAAGTGCAAAGACTTGGTAGAGGAGAAGGGATGGTTGATGAGGATTGGAGGGGGGGAAGTGGTTTGAGGTTTAGCAGGAATGGGGAGGGTGGGATAAGTGTGAGGAGTAGTGGTAGTGATGAGTTTATGGATGCCTTGGAAGACCCTTTTGACGAATGAGTGTTAGGAATGTTATGTAGATTGAGCAGGTGGAGGGGGGGGGGGGGGGGGGGGGAGGGGAGGCATGGGAGAAGACGGGGCAGGGTGTGTGATCTGCTTTCACTTAAATTTAGATCTCGCAATTCCACACAATATGGAAGTACGGCTGGTGTCATTTTGCACACCTGTCAAACTACAATGATAGTGTTGATAATCCTCTGTTGAAATGGTCCTAAACTCTAATCTGTTCTGCATTCCGTATAACGAGAATCTCCATTGAATCACGTCCGACATAGTCATATGTGAATATCAATGCCAGGTCAAGATCTGTAAATCGCGACTCCTCGCTGCAATGAATCGGTGCGCTGGCGCCTGTTGATTGAGCGCATGAAATTCGCTCACGTCATATCCCACCCGTTCCACGCAGCGAGGTTGTGAACCTTGCTTTGTGTCACTATTCACCTGACAATCTCCCGCTAGTCTTGAACCAGTCGACATCATTTGATGACTCGTTCTGGGTCTCGTACTGGTCAGCCAAGTGCTGTGGTGATATCATATGGGTTTCTGCCACGTTGTTGTCCACGGTGCGGGGTTTCCAAACCTTCCGCTAACCACAGTTCCCACGGCACGCCACGCTTGACATGCTGTCATCCACATCGCAAATCCCAGCCCTCCCTTTAGAAGCTCGCCAAGTCCCCTACATTACATACCGCTTCCACTTGTCCCCTCAATCCAGCTTCTGTTCGTTTCCGTTAGGAACCTTTTTCCTATTGGGTAATCCCATCTATCTCTCCTCCCTTCTCTGGTTGATTCCACGTGCGCCTCTCCAGCCTGTACCTGCGAGTGATATTTCGCTCCAGTTTTATACGAATACGAAGGCAGTGCCACTTCTGTACTCGTCCCTATTGCTCATTTCACATTCTTTTGGAACCTCGGAAGGTCATATTATTGCGAAACCTTTTCCGACCAGAAACCATGGCGTCGTGCCTCGCAGCTTTTTCCTCGGCGCGTGTGTTTTCTCTTCGAGCAGTCACCACCTCCCGTGTTCAAAGGCGCGGCCAGGTTGTATGCACGATTCAGCCGAAAAGAAATAACTCAACTGCGGCTACTTCTGGGACCCACCACCTTTCGCCGTTTTACGCGGAGAAAGCCGCGCCGGTGGAAGAAGATGTAGACCGCGCGTACTGGACCGACGACGATGTTTCTCCAGTGTTGCTCCAGGATGACGAGAGCACGTGGCAGGACAGCAATTACGTGGACCTGACCCTGCGGTCTTATAAGTACGTATTGTGATGGGTTGGGTGCGAATATTCGCTTAATTTACCGTCAATTTACCGTCAGCCCAGAGTGAATAAGTTTGCTAATCCGTAGCGTTCTTTGTGGCGTGTTTTCAGGATTGTGAGGGAGGAGACTCAGCATGCCCTCCAGAGCCACTTCATGCAGCAGAAGAAAGAAGCAGCCGCGAAGGCGCCTGCGACAACCGAGTCCCATCACACTTGCTGTGCGCCAACACCTGAACACACCTTCTGCTGTGGTAAGACATCTCATCTTATCCGTTACCATACCTTTCGCATTGTCACCACATGCACGTATTTTTGTTATGATATTCACGTCTAATGCTTCTTGCTTGTGAACCTGTTTATTTCAGGGGAGGATGAGCAAGTTGCGCATGAGGTGTCTCCTGCATGTGTTCACGGAGGCGATGTCTTCTATGGTACAAGTCACTGATTGTGGAACAAGGATCATGAATCTCCGGTGCTGCGGGAGCGTGCGTTTATGTATGCTTGTAATCGCCAGAAAGCAAGGCCAGCAATAACCTACTGTTTTCTGGTTCTGAATCCTGATCATGTGCATAGCATCCATTGTTTGTTACTCCGCTTTGTGTAGATGTATTGGTAGTTAAAACCGAAATATAAAATAGTGAAGGCGGATCTAACTTGAAATCGTGCTCGGAAGAAGCTAAAGTGGAACGACGCTGGGCTGTGTAAAACACTGTTCCGGGCATCGCCCTTCCACAGACTGAACACACGTGATTCGTTCCCGCCAAAAGAAAAATTCAGATCGTGCTCGCGCGTTCGCATTTTCTGCATGACATATGCACAACAGTTGTTTGTCGTGCGTTTTGATGGCTGGACCCAACTTCGACTTTCAAGCTGGGCCTGGGTTCCACATATGCTTACTTCAACTCCGTTCACGTAGCTTGCCTAACTCACGGAGCTTGCCTAGCATAGAATAGCCAGAGACGAGGGATTAGGCTGATGCGGCATAGAAATGAAATGATCATTAGATTGTGTGTGATACTTCGTCGTCGTTGATGCGTAGTGATATTTTCCTTGCGATCACAGAGAACTCCATTCCCGTCGCCATTCCTCTCACCCCTCTCATCGCCCACTACGCTATCCTCGAGTTCGCCAAATCGCCCTCCCGTCTCCCATTCCGTCGCGCGTCACGTCGCCATCTCGCCGCCCGTCCCGTCGCCCTCTTCGTCGCCCTCTCTCCCCTCCTCTCCTCCCGCCGGCCTCTCTCTCGCCCCTCCCTACTGATCGCCCTCCCGTCGCTCTCCGCTCCCTTCCCGTCGCCCTCTCTCTCGCCCCTCCCTTCCCGTCGCGTTCTCTCTCTCTGCTCCCTTCCCGTCGCCCTCTCTCTCGCCCCTCCCTTCCCGTCGCGTTCTCTCTCTCTGCTCCCTTCCCGTCACCCTCTCTCTCGCCCCTCCCTTCCCGTCGCGCTCTCTCTCTCCGCTCCCTTCCCGTCGCCCTCTCTCTCGCCCCTCCCTTCCCGTCGCGCTCTCTCTCTCCGCTCCCTTCCCGTCGCCCTCTCTCTCGCCCCTCCCTTCCCGTCACGCTCTCTCTCTCTCTGCACCCTTCCCATCGCCCTCTCTCTCGCCCCTCCCTTCCCATCGCGCTCTCTCTCCGCTCCGCCCTCTCTCTCGCTCCTCCCTTCGAATCGCGCTCTCTCTCCGCTCCCTTCCCGTCGCGCTCTCTCTCTCCGCTCCCTTCCCATTGCCCTCTCTCTTTCTGCTCCCTTCACGTCCTCCCTTCTCGCTCGCCTCGAATAGCCCTCCCGGCGACCTTCGACTCTCCCATCACGTATGCCCTCCTTTCTCTGACGCCTCTCTCGTTCTCCCTCTGCTATCGCGTCAGCGTTGTTGGGTTGAAAAAAGCCCTTAAGATCTTTGGAGGGGTGAACTCTGGGTAGGACTGATGTAATAGCGGAAGCGTTTAGTGAAGAATTGTGAACCACCTTGCGCTAGTATGTGAGGGCAAAGTCGATTGATTAAGGCAAAGAGATACAGGATTATATAAGAGTACAAGGAATGTGAAGAGATACAGTTATAACTACTTTACTGTTGCTGTTGCGGTTCGATACAGTGACGACTCGGGCAACTGCTCTGTAGCGAGTCAGTTGTGTGTCCTTGCTGTCGCGCTGTACTTGTCAGGTCAAAGGTCGCTGACCTTTGACTTTCGCGTAACCTCCAGCAGTTACTTCAACCTCCGGGGGTTGACCCGCTGTTGCCTCGATATGCTTTGCTTCGCTTGTGCCTTGGTGTTTCGACAAGACAGAGGCGCTTAAGCTCGATTGTTTCCAACACTCCCCTTCGCTTCTGGAGTGTCGCTGTTGGTGACGTGGCTCTGTCCAGTCAGCAGCATGCAGTACTCGAACTTCTGTTTTCCGAGCCTCTTGGTCAAGTAATCAGCTGCCATCTCGGATGTGGGGAAGTATGACAGCTCGAGTCTCCCCTTCTCCATCTCGTCCTTCACGAAGAAATATCGCAGGGCGATGTGTTTCGTCCTGTTCGCGAAGCCGTTCTTGTTGGCGATGCGAATTGCTGACTGGTTGTCGCAGAACAGGGTGAAGCTGGGTAACTGAGTTAGCTTCGCTTCTTCCAGGAGTTCGCGAAGGTAGAGTCCTTCCTTAATGGCTGAGCAGAGTGCTATATATTCTGCTTCAACTGAGGAGAGCGCGATTAATTCCTGTTTGCTCGACTGCCAGGAGATAGGTCCGATGGGTTCGAACCGATAGATGTAGCCGGTGCGCGAGCGTCTGTTGTCGGAGTCGCCCGCGTGATCGGCGTCGACGTAGCCGATTAGCTTAGGCGTTGTAGTTGCGTTCTTGTGGTAAGCCAGACCGATCGTCGGGGTGCTGACGAGGTAGTGAAGAGCGCGGTCGAGCTCCGCTATGTGTTCCGTTTCAGGCTTCTTGAGGTAGGTGGCGAGCTGGCTTGCAGAGTATGATACGGTAGGTCCGGGCGGCAGGTGACAGCTGCGAAGAGGAGGCATCCTAGCTTCCTCTGGTAGTCTCGTGTGCCGGCGGGCTTGAGTAGAGTAGAGCCTCCCTTGATGTTTCCTGTCGTGTAGCGGTACGGCGTGGAGATGACGGTCGGTGTGAGTGCGAAGCGCTTGGCGATGGTGTCGGTGTATTTCGCTGCGCTGAGATAGATCCCGTCTTCCTCTTCCTGGCGCAGAGTGCTGCTTCGGAGATTCTTCCGTGGGCTCGGAGGATAGCTTTTGTGGCGCGCCATTGAGGACCGAGGTCGCCGATGATGACTGTCACGAAGGCGTCTTCTGATATTGATCCTCCGCATCGAAGGAGTTTGTCGCGCAATTCGCGACAACGGCTGATATACGCCATTCCCTTCTCGCCTGGTTTCATTTCAACTGTTGTCAGTTGCGCCATTAACCGACTTTGGTTTACGCTATCTGTTGCTTGGTACAGGTTCTTCAAGTGGCTGTATGCGAGCTCGGCGGAGTTGCCGTATCCCCGGTAAGACCGTATGTTCTGCTGCTGAGTCGGGGTGATGTTTCTCAGTAGGATTGTGTACGCCATCATTGACTGATAGGTGTACTGCTGCTTCTCGTACTGTGTGCCGTTTGTTGGGTATGGCAGGGACCCGTCGAAGAAGCCAAGAATCTGCGCGCCTTCCATCATTAACTCGAACTCGAACGACCAGGTGAAGAAGTCCTTTCCGTCGAAAGGCCTTGACGTCTGCAGTTTTAAAACGTGGGCGAACTGCGACTGAACTTGAAGTGCGTCCAGTGGTTTCTCCTGTCCGGGTGCAGGCTGCGGTTGTGGCATAAAGCTGACGGAGCCGCGCTGGGGCTCGTACGGAGCAAAGGTAGGTTGCTGCTGTTGATTTCCACGTGCGTAGGATGAACCGTCAAGGCTCATTGGGGTCACGTCGTTGTTGTTGTTGCTCTTCTGTGACTGCACAGGTACCGATTGCTGGTGTTGCTCGTAGAAGGACATGAAGGAGAAAAACTTCTCCATCATGCTTTGGTCGAAGCCTGCAGGTTGATTCGCAGGAGACTCGTTGGATGTTGCCCTGGGTCTTGTTGCCGTGCCCTCCTCTGTCTGTAGGCCAGAGGCAGGAGGTGGAGTAGGAGTAGTGTCGGGAGAACCAATAGAGGAACTCCTTTCCTTCTGAGTAGCCATGTCTTCTGATATTGTAGGTGTTTTGATAGTTGAATTCCCCCTGATAGCTCGCATACCATGTTGGGCTGAAATAAGCCCTTAGGATCTTTGCAGGGGTGAACTCTGGGTAGGACTGATGTAATAGCGGAAGCGTTTAGTGAAGAATTGTGAACCACCTTGCGCTAGTATGTGAGGGCAAAGTCGATTGATTAAGGCAAAGAGATACAGGATTATATAATAGTACAAGGAATGTGAAGAGATACAGTTATAACTACTTTACTGTTGTTGTTGCGGTTCGATACAGTGACGACTCGGGCAACTGCTCTGTAGCGAGTCAGTTGTGTGTCCTTGCTGTCGCGCTGTACTTGTCAGGTCAAAGGTCGCTGACCTTTGACTTTCGCGTAACCTCCAGCAGTTACTTCAACCTCCGAGGGTTGACTCGCTGGTGCCTCGATATGCTTTGTTTCGCTTGTGCCTTGGTGTTTCGACACGACAGAGGCGCTTAAGCTCGATTGTTTCCAACAAGCGTGACCCATTCCGTACTCTGTTATTGTGTTTTGTTTGTTTTTTTATTTATGTTTTTTTTCCGTCTTTCCATCTATTCTCGTCACCCTCTCTCCCGCAGCCTATCCTCTCTCCCGTCGCCTATCTTTTCTCCCGTCGCCCTCCCGTTTCCCGTCGCCCTCCCGTTTCCCGCCCCCCTCTTGTTTCCCGTCGCCCTCCCTTTTCCCATCGCCCTCACGTTTCCCGTCGCCCTCCCGTTTCCCGTCGCCCTCCCTTCTTCCGTCGCCCTCCCTTCTTCCGTCGCCCTCCCGTTTCCTACGCCCTCCCTTCCCATCGCCCTCCCGTTTCCCGTCGCCCTCCCTCTTTCTCTTCATTCGCATCACCTTGCCCATCATAATTTCCCCCCTAGTGCTGTTTTTCTCTTCTGTTCCCCGTTATTGCACCTCTCCCAGGCCTCAAGTCCAAGGCAGCACATTGATCAGAGCTCTACTAGCTCTAATAACGTTCAAACACTTTCACTCTCATCACGTACATGTGTGTCTGCTAGTTGTGAATTTGGTGAAGTAATGGTTGTAGTGAATGCAGGAGTGCTCGTCGCTCAACTTCGCGCCAAATTCGCACATGTACATGTGAGAGAACCTGGCTGCCAATCAGAATTGACCATGAACTATCGTTCCTGGTCCAATAAGAAACTCGTCCGAAGGTTGGAAAAAAAAGCACACACACAGCACTTCCAACTTTCCAAAACAAAACAAAAATACTTCATCTTCAAGTGGACCCAACTAGAAGGGGGGGGTCACTATTTTGCCTACTGGCTTTAACGTAGCTTCTGTAATGTCACAAATCATGGATGAGTTCCTCCTGTTCAGAGAGGGAGGGCCACAATTCCTGTGCAGCAGCGCCACAGACACATGGATGCAGGTCCTATTACCTATGTCACGGTAGCCCATGTTTCCTTCCCGAGTGAGGGTACATTCTGCTGTAGACCATGTCCCAATCGATATGTCCCAATCGATTTTAGCCCGAGTCGCGCTCAAATGTTTCGAGTCTGCATGTCCCAATCGATCGATGTATTGCGACTCTGCACAGACGCGCGACAATTATATGCGATCGACTGTGATTGATCAGAGAACAATTTGACCCACTCGTCCCTGTCAATAATTCCGGGAGTGTCCAATCGACCAATCACGAAGCTGTGTACGCGTTGTTGGGGATAAGGGGGTTTTTCCAATGTGGTCCAGATACATGCTGCATGAGTTGACATTTGGCACCGCGTGCGACTGCTGGGGTGTGTTGCAATTAGCTGGCGAATGTTCCGTGTTTCACGTCACCCAATGATAAATACAATTGGCGACAACGACGGGCGGCCCGGCATTCTGACACCTGGCAGCATATGCTGTACGTACGCGTCCCAATCGATTGGGACAGATCGATTGGGACATGGTCCACAGCGGAATGTACCCTGAGTCATAAAGAGGATAGTGCCTTTTCCTGTGTCTTCAGGAGTACGGCGAATGACGCCATTCGGTCCAATCGGTCCATTGGACCAACTGGCCATTTGGGGTGGATTATCAGGCCAGTTGGTCCATTTGGTCCACTGGATGTATTACATGTATGCTAGCGTAGAGTGTAACTCTACTACTGATGGTACAACACACATTGTTGTCATAGTATCATGTGCAGGCAGGACCATTCATTCGTTGGACATGGTGCTCCAAGAAATTAGGGTCACTTCACTTGCAGGATGGTGGTGGTGAGTGAGTGTTGATGTCTGGTGTTATTGTCAAACATAATAGTTGAGGGGCCTAGTGTCAAACTCATATGCTATAGTCTGTGTAGGCTGTAGTGGGGTAGACAATATGGGGTACAACACTTTTAGGTTTTCCTACTTGTACCCACCTGCTTGCTAGTTCATTCATTCCTTGTTCTTTCACATGGTATAGAGCAAGTTCCCTAGTGGGAACGTTTCCTAGGGCCCACCGAAAATTCGATTTTTTTTTTCCTGCCCGGAGCGCACTTCACCCCTGCCCGAGTCGCGCCCCGCGTCCCCTGCCCTTAGTGGCCCCTTAGCCGCTCCCTAGCGCCCCCCCCCCCCCACTCACGGCCCCTCGCGGCCCCTCTCACGGCCCCTTGCGGCCCCTT